TTTCAAGTCCTTTTGGTTGTTAAATTGATTAAAAATGTGTCTGTTAATGTATTAGCAAAGTGTATTTGGAGTGGTTGTGTGCTAGACTGCTAACGTTTTGTTTTACATGGTCAATAATGTGAAAAGTGTTGTTGAAAACAACATAAAGGTGTGATTTTGATAATGACAGTATAATTATCATTAATGGGTCATCATCAGTCATTAAAGGAACACCTCAACTACCATAAACACTACAACCTGCTGTAGTAGTTATAGTGTTGGACGCCCTGGCATCCTCCATTTTGCAAATGGATTGACAACTAATTTGGGCTGCACTGGGCAGGTGTGGCTACCTCCTCTCGAGCTGAAATCTCCCTGCACTGAGCTAAGCCCAGTGGTTCAAGGAAGTGCTCATTGGATGAGAGTGCTGAGCTGATGCTCTCAGCCAATGTAGTGAAAATAACTGAAGCTTCTTGCATGTTCATCTGACTCCACAGGAGGTGGTGGTGGCACATGGCGAATCCCAGGTAAGTTTTTTAAACTGTTTACAACTAGTCTGACTACTGGGAGGGCACCGGAACACTTCTGAACCATAAACATTAGTGGTTATGGTGCCTGGATTTTCATAATGACATAAAGATAATTAGTAAACCATTTCAGTTGAGGCCCTGCTGTGCACATCACTCAAAGAGCTATAAATGAAAAGGTACCTTTAGCTTATCACCAGAATATGCAGACAGGCAGGGTTTCATACCAAAAGCCATCATAATTAGAATAGTTATAGGAGTTAAGACAATGGTCTGGATTATCTAATGAGCACTAAGCTTTATAATGCTTTAATTACTACCCAATCTGTAATCATTGGATGAACTGTATAATGTATATGGATAAACCATACTTCCCAAATCAACAGTACAACTTAAGAGTTAATATCACTTGATCTGTCAATTTGTATATCCAAAAAAACAAAGATTTAATTAGATACTTTGGTTTACATACTCTGTGCAGGAAATATAGTAGAAAATATGCTGGCATAATATTTACTTTGTGCAGATGATGTTCTTTTTCTTTTCTTTTTAAGGGTGACTGATATATGATGTTACAACTGTTTCACATGTGGATTATGTTTAATACATTTAATGAACCTTGTGTGACTATAGATCTTAAAATAATCCAAAGTCTATAAATAGAATCAACTTCCATCTGTGAAAAACATAAAGCTGTGCATATATAAAAATATATTTCACTTGGGACATTTTTCCATCAGTAAAGAGCAAGTTTTCTCACATTAGGGACAGTGACAGAGATGGAGTTATATATGTGGCTTAATATTGACTGTAAGGGACATAAATTCATTTAACTCAGCCATCTGAACAATATAAATCAAATATCCTGGAATGTACAACAAGTAAGGGGAAAGTGGTTTGTTATGGCCTTGGAAAGAGCATGTTGACTTCTATCATGCCCCAATACAGCTACAAACTTGAGAACCTTTTTGATGCCACCAAAATGCTTCACGAGTGGGGTCTTTGAAAAGAACTCCATAATAACCTTTTTTTTTTAAGACAGACCCTTTTTGAGACCCCAAATCCCTCTGTCTATGTCTGGTGTGTGACCATTTTTCAATGGTAGACAGCAATTAGACTATGCATAATCCGAGTTGTCTTTAAATCACTATTGTCTCAGACAAACTACCTACAAAGGAGGCTACAGCTGTTTTTGTGCTTAGTAACGATGGTGCATGTGATTCTGTTTTCAGTACTAAACAGAGAGTGAGTCTTTGCATTAGGTGATCTAGACGTTTACCTGAGGGCATTGGACACCAGTATTTTAACTCTAATGTTTTACTTCACTGTACAATCTGCCATCAGCCCCCTATTGTGAGAAATAATATACTCAAGATCACATTAAAGGTAGAAGAGCCAGCCAAGTGATGGCTGAAGACTTTTATCGACTTTAAGTCTGCCTTTTTTTTTTTCTGGAAAACATAAAATAAAGATTTGGGTGTTAATATATTCACAGGTTTCTAACAAGCAATAAATTGACTTTCAGCTCAAAGCTAACATTTGGTCTCGGACTGGCCCTGATATTAATCTGTACTGATGGTGCCATTATGTAAATCAATAGCTTAGTACTAATCATTTCTTTAATCCCTTTACACATTTAAAATATCTAACCCTAAGTGTTCTAACTGCTTAGTGCTAACAGCATCAGAATAAATAATCGGGGACTAAAATTAAATCCGGTTATCTTCAAAATACAGCCAGACGCGTGGTGTGAGAAATGAGGAATAAGATTTCATTTCATCAATGTCTAGAATTGTACGCACATTCTGCCATTTTAGAAGTAGAAATTATTTAGAAAAACTAAATGTATAATTTTTTTTATTTTATGTGATTGTTGTTACTATAGGAGGCATCTGAAAGGAGTCCATAGAATCCCACAAAAGTGTGTTAATATCCATATTGTGTGGATTAAATGAGCATATTGATGACCAATCTGTGCCACCTAATAATTTAGATGAAGTAGATGTAGGGGATATAGTCAACCAGGACAAAATGTCAGGGGAGCAACATAGCACAATGATTTTCACTTTGTAAAAATTTTAATGGGTAAGCTTTATAGACCTTTTCAACAGCACAGTGCTCTCCTCCTTACTTTCACTCTGCCATGCCCTTTAAAGAAAATGTAGACTGGTTTAATTTGTTCTAAAATAACATACAAAAAAGGAGCAAAGACGAAAGATTTGTGTTATCATAGGGACATATTGCTATTTCAGTCTCAATAGTCCATGGCTTCTTTGAACTAACTTCTTTGAACTGCCCAATCGATGTCTTGATATTATGAATGCTACAGTTTGGTGGGAATGGAAAGGTTACTAAAAACCACAGGTGGTCTTAAGTATATTTAACCACTGGACCACCACTCCACCCATTGGTTCTGCTATTGTTATATGTAGCCATGTCTGGTTTACATTGCAGACAGCCCTAAGCAGAAAGTCTATAGATGCTTACACACCCTAAAACATTAAAACCAAACAGACATAAAAAAATAAAATAAATGAAAAGACTATGTGCAGAGGGTATATGTTAAAAGTAAGCAGGACAGTTAAAAAAACTAATTAGGGCTCCTCATGGACAGATTTTAATCAGACACTGAGAAGTGTTCACAGCATTCAAGCCACTCTGATTATGTTTAAATGTCCTTTCATGATGTGCTAACTATGAATTGAGTGGGGTCATTTGTCTTCATCTAGAAGAAAATATAGGGTAGCATCGGAATTCGATGAATAATGTCATTTCAATTCTTACTCATTATGCTAGTCTATAAATAACTAGGATGTTTTAAAACTATGTCTCAGATAACCAGATTGTATATATTTTTAGATTGTACTTGTGATAAGACTTTGCCAGTAGGTGGAAAAAAAGAAAATGCTCAACCTCTACAGAATGGTGGGTTGACTGAAAAAAAACCTGCTACTTGTTCTAGATATAAGGCCAAGTTCTCTGTTGCTAGACACGGCATACAATGCATCATAAAGAGTTCTTCCATGTAAATATATATAAATTCCTAGTGTACAATGCATGCAAGCATGGTTGCCCTCACATGGCAATTTTTTTTTTATAATTTATTCAGTGGATAGTGGAAATTTCGCCCTTGTGAATGGGAATCCAGCCTTGTGAAGAGTGCCATGGATCCAACCTGCAGCCAGTACTACTTGAAAACAGCGACTTATCGAACCAGTGGGAGAACAGCTTAAATATGCAATCATGAAAAATAGTGTAAAACAAGGGGTTCAGGGAATATTACAGAGCCTGCATTCCTCTCAGACAGGCTGGCTGGCTATTGAGGAGAAAGATCAGTAAGTAAGTTGCTCACTGGTCAAAAATGTAAGTAAAATGATAAAACAGGTAAATTAAATTAATAATGTAACATAATAGTGCTAACTTTACCATAACTAACTTTTAAATCTTATACTAAATTATCACAATTGTATCTGTACATTGAGATAGCCAAATTCATTTGTATTCTATTTATTGACTTTGTCAGTCCATCTGCATCTGTGCAAGGTATCCTGAAGCTGATAGTGTGCACCAACATCCTTGGAACTGTAAGATGCTCCATAAGTCATTTGGGGTACCTCTACCTCTACCATGTTTAAAATGGTGAGTAATATTTAAGCATGACTGGTTGCATTGGAAGTAAAATTTTGAGCCTTGATTTGTAATTAGAAATGTGTAAATAACATATGTTGACAGTTTCATCTGTATTTTAAATTAGGATGTTTCTAACGCCATTATCAAGGATACCAAAAGTCAAGTACATGCTAAACTAATCGGAACTGGTCCCTCCTTCCAAAAATGAATTATTATTATTATTATTATTATTATTATTATTCGTGCAATAACAGAACTATAAGCTTGGATTTACATTTTATTGGTTACACTTTGCAAGCAATTTAATATATTTACATATACTTTTAAAATAGTTTTTGCAAATTTTAAAATATTAAAAATATAATCATATAAAAAAATACATCAATAATTAAAAAAATATCAAAATATAAAAATGTTTTCACAATAATAAGTAATTTTAAAAGTTTATGCCAAAAACATTAAATAATTTGAAAAACTTAGCCAACAATATTAAATCAAAGCCATAATTAGCTCTCTATAATCTGCTTGCAATAGAGTAATTCCTCCTATCTGACTGCCATTTTGGGGTCAAAAAGGAAGTTTTCCCTAGTTTGTTGCAAAATTGGAAGCTCTTCAGACTGGGGTTTTTGCTTTCTTTTGGATCAACACCAAAAACATATCTGAGGAAGGCTGAACTTGATGGATTCAAGTCTCTTTTCAGCTATTTAACTATGTAAATATGATATTCTTATACATACATTTTTCCCATTTAGAATTTGGATATAGGACATGTGCTGGAGCTCACCACAGCACAACACAGCTTGAATCTCTTTCAAGGGTCCCTTAATTTCACTGCTGGATACCAGGAGTGATTATAGTGGTTATAGCTGTCTCACCCAAACTCTAGCCGAATCTAAGGGAAGGGTAAATAAGAACTGATTTTCGATCCGATGGAGAATTACATGCGGCTGGAGACTCGCGGCTTTCGCTGCAAGGCTCAGTAGCCGGGTGGGTTGGAGTGAGAGCGCACTTCGGGGCTTTGCCTGGTGAAGGACGGGGGAATGTGATTTAGCTCTTATGTGAGAAAATGTCTCTGCAAGGTGGCTGGACTGCGGTTCCATCACAGGAGAATTTGTGCTCGTTGGATTATTAAAGAACAGCAGACTGTAGTAGTGAATTGAAAAAAAAAAAAATCGCAAAATTTAGACTAACATAGCCAAATTGTGACTAGAACTGAGCTGGAGAATTTTTCCAAATAAGCAATTTGCATCAGAAGTACAAGTGATGTATTTCTCCTTGACATATTTAATCTTTTACTACAAAGAAATAAAAACTACTCCCTGAAAAGAGTCATCCAAAGACAAGGATGCATTATGTAACAAAAATCCTTTACTGTAATTGCAGATGATTATTTAAAATTTACTGGAAATATTCATAAAGAATTTAAGCATGTGTTTTTTTTGTAGTGTGTTTTTTTTTTACATTTTCTAATTTTTTTTTTCATTTTCACATTGTTCACAGAAAAAGAAGTAAGCTAATACTAGACATGAAAAGTAAATCATGTTAATGTTTGCTCCTTCAAAATTATTTGGAATTTTGGTAGAATTTTTACTAATCTGCATCGTTTCAGAAGGCTATGGATTGCAAAATTTAATCCAAACCATAAATACTGTTCATTTCATCGTTCATCACTCAGATAGGTTTCTCTCTAGAGAACACCAGAGGAATCCATCAAATGATAAACAGACTCTTAAAAAATATTTCTCATGCAGATTCATTTAAATCATATACAGTTCTAATATATTCTCATTTTTATACAAATTATGAAGATCTCAACAAACACGGTTTAAGATCCATAATGTTCTGATGTTTACCATTAAAACATTTTACTTAAAGGTATAACTTCTCAAAATTATCCTTACTGAGAGAATGTAACGGAGAGGCAGGTGTAAAAGTGAGTAGTAGTTTCTAAACATATTTGTTTGTAAACCTGAGCCCCAAAAATAATGCAAAATCCAAAAATCTGTCTCAAGCAGGATTCTTTTCCATTGTGCACATATCTGATATGTTAACATCTGCAAGGAACATCCAAGAATTTAGGTTTTTCTAACTACATACCAGATGGGGCCAAAGAACGGAAGGCTTCTCATTTACGAAAAAGACATTTTATTAACTTTGAAGAGAGAAGATTAATTTTATAAATTTTCCAAATATATTACGTAGACGGTAATGATTAAAAGCAAATTCAATGTATTTAGAAGAAATAACCTCCATGTGCCCCTTAACAAAAATAAAAAATGCATGTTTGTTATAATCAGAGTAAACGTATTAAATGTAATTGACTTTTGCTCTTCTTGCTCTCGAGAAACATATTGTATGTTTTGTTTCTAAATGTCAAGATCACATTTTCACATTTAACTATAGAGTTTAGTTTGCAGCTATGGTAAATGCTATGCACGAAAAGGATCATCTCCCTCTGCAGTGGTAAACTAGAATAGCCCATTAATGCATAAAAGGACTATTATCTAACGATTAAGAAATACCCCATAGTGTTTGCATATGGCCCCGTTTGCATATGAACAGAATTACAAATAACAAATAATAACAAATACACATGTACACAATACCTAAGAGATCCATTTTAATCACCATAAAGAAAACACACACACACTCACACACCGTAATGTCCATATGGAAGACAATGCGTTAATTACGCAACAACAATCCAAGTAGTTGTTTCTAACATTCAATCTGCAATGTAACTAAAAAGCTGGTAAAGACACCTTTTTTTTCTTGTTAATCTTACGATGTAGGTCAAATGAACTCGACATTAAGAAAGTAATGCATAAATCGCAACCTAGAACCAGTTTTTATATGCTAATATTTTCTGATTCAGCACCATTAATGGTAATAAAGTTGTCATCAATACATTATAAATGGATTACTGACTCGGTATTGTAATGTACGTCGATGTCACCTGGATCATCAACATACCACCAGACCATCAGTTTAGAATCCTAAATGTGACCGACACTTCCCAAATGGTCCTGTTATTACAAATATTCTGTATTTGATATTTCTCTTTAAAAATAAAAGTCAAACGTTAAGATTTAGATTCATAAACAGCAAAGTTTGGATTCTTCTATGCTATATATTACATACGTAATTTATTAGCAAGTCACTTTGTCATATTTTTATGATGGGACATAAAAGCGTTAATAGTGAAAGGCCTCAGGGTCACCTCACCTCGGAAGTTCTCAGGTGTGAAAATTCACTGTCTGCAGGAAGCAAGGATGAAAGTTGATCTGTGATATTTTATTGTGTGACTCACAGTTTCAAATTTATTTTCCTGCAAGGTAAGTTTCCCACCATTAAGCCTAGTAGTTATAGCAAGGATGGCTAAGTTTGTTACCACAGAGGTTTCAGAATTACATATCCCTTGTTATACAGCCTAAAAGCTTGCAGTGCATCTTGGTAAAAATGTAGCCCACACGAATATACATTGTCATTACGACTCCCTCCCCCCTTAAATTCCTCTCCCCACAGATATATTATCAATAAACTAAGTAATATAAATAAGATTCTCAGAATTGCTCCTGTACATCCGCTGCAGCTGGTAATTTTCAACACCTGACCCTGTGGTAACTTCACAAAAATCCAAACACATTTAGAGAATAATCATTTGGACATATGTTTTTATAAAACCATTTAAAGTTGTAAATGATATTGCTAAAATGGCATATAAACAGCTATATAAGAAGAAATAAACATTAAATGTACTAATGTTAATATGTCTAAAGAGACTAGTTTAACATATTTTCATCTAAAAAAACAAAAATTTCATGCAATTTTTTTTATTACATGAACCAGTGATACTTAAAGGGATACTATTGGCACCAAGATAACTTTAGCTTAATCAAGCAGTTTTTGCAATACAGACCATGCCCTGCAGTCTCACTGCTCAATTCTCTGACATTTAGGAGTTAAATCACTTGATTGTTTATGAAGACTTAGTCACACCTCCCTGCATGTGACTTACACAGCTTTCCTAAACACTTCCTGTAAAAAGTCATCTAATGTTTATACTTCCTTTATTGTACATTATGTTTAATTTAGAATGTCTTATGTCCTGCTTTGTTACTAGCCTACTAGATCCCGTAGGAGCTTCCTGTGTGTGATTAAACATTAAATTTACAGAGCAGGAGATTAAAGACCTATAAAGGAAGTTAACATCTTTTTGAAAATGAAACAATTTTGTTAATGCAGGCTGTGCCAGTCACAGCCAGAGGAGTCGTGGCTAGGTCTGCGTAAACAGAAACAAAAGTGACTCCTAAATGGCAGGGAATTGAGCTGTGAGACTGCAGAAGAATTAATTTATTCTTATCTGTGGATTTTATGGTCACTGACCATGATTGGCATTTGATTATTCTGATTGGATGAATGGTGCTTTCAAATAATCATATTACAGTTTTTCATATCAAATGGATCTAATTGTTTTTATAAGATCTCCCGCTGTGGCCTTCCACTAAAAGGCTGTGATTTTTGCAGTAACAAAATACATAACTGGCAAATCTAATAACTTTTCCATACATGTTTAAACCTGTCTCCATTTTGTATATCATATAAAAGTGATTTATATTCAGGTTTTAGTGACCCCTTAAGAATATTTTGTGATTCAAGCAACGTCTGGGATAATTGAAGCAGTGCTAGATTTTTCAAAGTTATAGTGAAATAATATAAACTTTCTTTTTTTTTTAGATTGATTTTTTTAGGTTAGCGATCTTAGATACGAAAATGTGTCTTTATGTTGGTCATGGGACAAGAGTAAAGTAGATATCATAATAGTTTATGGCTTTCCCAAAGCAAGTATAAAAGAACAGATTTTTGCTAAGTAAAATCAACATGTATTTCCAACAATGCACAGCAGGAGGCTTTGTCTGCTCATGATAGACGACAGTCATAGCTCTTTCTAAGTGATTTGGAATAGTGAAGAATTCGAAAGGATTCTATTTTATTTAAAGATGCACAGACAAGCAGTTCGATCCTTACATACAATGGAAGCAGATGTGGTAAATGTGAGTAGTAAGCCCACATGTAGGTTCATATTTGGTATCAAGAGAAGAGTAGATCTCTCAACATTTTTATTTAAAATGATCTAGCAGCAGAAAAACTCAGATTTCAGCAAAAATGTTTAAAGGACCACTATAGTGCCAGGAAAACATACTCGTTTTCCTGGCACTATAGTGCCCTGAGGGTGCCCCCACCCTCAGGGTCCCCCTCCCGCCCGGCTCTGGAAGGGGAAAGGGGTAAAAACTTACCTTTTTCCAGCGCTGGGCGGAGAGCTCTCCTCCTCCTCTCCGCCTCCGTTACGCCCCGCCGGCTGAATGCGCACGCGCGGCAAGAGCTGCGCGCGCATTCAGCCGGTCTCATAGGAAAGCATTTACAATGCTTTCCTATGGACGCTGGCGTGCTCTCACTGTGAAAATCACAGTGAGAAGCACGCAAGCGCTTCTAGTGGCTGTCAATGAGACAGCCACTAGAGGATTAGGGGGAAGGCTTAACCCATTCATAAACATAGCAGTTTCTCTGAAACTGCTATGTTTATAAAAAAATGGGTTAACCCTAGAAGGACCTGGCACCCAGACCACTTCATTAAGCTGAAGTGGTCTGGGTGCCTAGAGTGGTCCTTTAAGAAACTCCCAGTAGAGGTACTCTGTCATTACAGATAAAGAAATAAGGCAAAGGGCTCCATTTTTCAAAGCTTATGTTGTATAGTAAAGAAACCAAAGACGGGGGTGTTCAAGGTTAGAATAATAGTTTTGTTATTTGTATGATTTTTTAAAATGTTTCACAAAATAGGATAAAATGTTTTTCCTGCGAGTCCTAAGACAGCTACACATTTTCTTATATTAAATATGGGCATGCACAAGTGAAAGATCTATTACTGGAACACTCCAAGCACCATAACCACTACAGCCTGCTGTAAATAGTCAAACCATTACCTGATGTATGCCAGGTGCCTTTCACAGCCCCTTGCAAGAAAATCTTTCACTTTCAGTGTTATTCATGAAAATGTGAATTATCATCAAGTTTATC